AAATTTTTCATAATCTATTCTTGAGTGGTCCAATTCACCCACTTTATCTTCCAGTCTTGATATTGTTTTCCAGTTCATTCATGCTATTGGTGAGGCTTTCTCCTGTTGTTTCTAATTGGCCTATTGAATGTTTCACTTCCTTCATCATTTCAGCCTGATTATTCTTCAACATTTCTAACTCTTATTCTGAATTCATTCAGCAGTTTATCCCTGTCTTCTTTCAGTTCTTTGATTTCTTTGTGTGTTTTTTAAATTCACCGAATTCTTTTATCATGTTTATAACTGTTCTTTTGAATTCCATGTCCTGTGTTATCTCTAGGGTATACTCATTGTACTCTACAGGATAGTTGGTACTTGGTGGGGATATATTATTTGGGTTTTTCATGATATTTTTTCACTGTGACTCTGATGTGTTGATTTCTTTGTAGTTTCTGATTCTTGTGTGAGACTCAAGCCTTTCTTTGTTGAGTTTAGGTCTGCTTATTTTTGTAAACTTTGTGTGCCTTTGTGGTTTACTTGTTGGGCATGAAAACCTGGTTGGTCTAGGCTTGAGGTTCTCTCTTTTGATTTTATATTGGAGGGGTCAAATTGATTTCATCTTCCTGCTCAGGAGTTCCCACAAATGTACAAGTTGGATGAGGATTAGATGCTCTCAGTCTCTCTCCTAAGGACTAGATCCCTCCAGGCAAGCTGCTGGCCCCAGGAAACTGGGGATCTGGGCCACCCAGAGATGCAAAGGGAGGTGGCAATGGGAAGAGGCTCCAAGGGCTCCTGTGGAGTATAGGGAGGATTTTGCTTGGTCTGGATGCAAAGGATCAGGAAGCAGTGGGGAGTCTGGGCCAAGAGGTCCGTCCAGTAGTGGTCTGGGGTGCCAATACAAGAAATGTGCCAGTGCCCCTGCTAGGAGGAGAGATGGGGTGGGGGAGCTGGGAGGGTGAATGGGGCTGGGGGAGTCAAAGCACAGTGGGTACTCTCAAACCTACTCAGGAAAGCTTCTGGTCCCAGGAATGCCTTTTCCATTTGAGATGTACATATTCAGCTGTCAATATGCAGTCTTAAATTGCTGTATAAATTTAATTGCAGGGTGGTTAGATGGTTTGGTGAAAAAGAATGCTTGCTAGCAAGCACTAGGCCTGAATTTGAATCCCCAGAACATATATAAAAATCCTAGGCCTGGCTACTCATGCCTGAAATCCCAGCACTGTTGGAGGCAGAGTCAGGAGGATATAGCTGAGGCTCGCTGGCAGCACACTTGGCTACAGCTTCATTGAGAAGCCCTGTCTGAAGGCAAGAAGGCAGAGAGGTGATAGACTGTGACATCTGATGCCCACTCCTGGCCTCCATGTGCATGTTTGCACACACCTGTATACACAAACACATGTACACACGGATATACTGCCCACCCTGATACACACACTAAAATAAAATTATCTGAACTACATTTGAACCACTGCCATCATTTCATAACTACCTGTTGCAGTAAAGTCAAGTATTCCCAAATATCATTGGATAATACTTGGGTTCTAAGCACTATCATGACCTGTTCATCTGTCCAGGGCACTACATACATACTGTAGAAGTTGTTGATCTCTTTTTGTTTTTACATATTATTCCCTGCTTCTAACATTTGTGGCATGTCAATTGTTTGATTTGACTATTAATATCACCCTTAAGACTGCCAGATGACTTAAAACTAGCTATTACTAGAAAAGTTTGAAGGATGTCAAATACTGTGTGAGATTTCTTTTATTATATGAGTAGTTCAATTCTTACCATCTTGAAATTTCAAGAGTTACCTGTTCTGCATGATTTAAATTTTTAAAATTTAGCTAAGCCATAAAGAAGCACAAAATAATGTCATTTTCAAGAAAATAGATGTAAGTGAACCTTATGGCCATGTTAAGTGCATTATTTCACACTGGAAAAAAATACATTCTGGTTTTCTCATGTTTATGGATCTGGGATTTTATTTATGTATAAACCATGTATATGCATTATGACATGAAAGTAGAAGCAAAACCGTCTTAGGTCAGTAAGGGGACTGATGCAGTAGGTGAGAGACGAGACCAGAAAGGGGCTGTGTATAAGGGCCATAGTCAATATACTCTCAACACCTGTATATACGTGTCCTTATGTGTACCTGTACATTGTGCAACAACTGCATTGTGTGAATTGTGAATAATATATTTTATACTCTGTAGTTTTGGGTCTGTCATATGTTGTATGTAAATTTGAGACAGATGAGCATTTTCCTTTTTATGTGTGGCAATTCCATAGATGTTAGTATTTTATTGTTGATGATTTCATTGTCTTCAACTTTACTCCTTGATACCTCATCATTGAATCTGACTGGTTCCTTCATACTATACTTTTGATAAATTTTCTAATATGCCAATTTAGGAAACTAATCTCATTCTTTCCTTTTTTTTTTGTTCTTTTTGAGACAGGGTCACATTGCGTTACCTCATTATTGGCGCCTACATACTTTCTTCTGATGTACCTATAAGGGACCACTCAATCACTTTCAGAATAGAACACTCAAGTACTTACTTTTTAAAACACATTTATTTATGTGTGTAGCACGGTCACACATGTGCCACAGTTCAAGTGTGGAGGTCAGAGGACAACTTGTGGGAGTCAGTTCTTCCTTCCACCATGTGGGTCCTGGGGATTGAACATAGGTCATCAGGCTTAGCAGTAAGCCAGCCCCATAAGGTACTATCTAGAACCTGATGGTACATACCATCAGGTATGATTTTAAAATATAATTGACAAGACCTCCATAATGTCCCAGTTTAGAAAGTTTCCAAGAGAGACAGGGTGAAAAATCGTCACTTCCTTCCTCTGTCCTTCAGTTGCCCAGTTTGTCCCAGGAGGCTCTCATTGTTCCCAGATTCCTATGTATTTCTTGATGCTGGGGTCCAAAGGGGAACTTATTTTAAGGAGGAAAAAAAGTGCCAGCTCTCTGCATTATGCAATTAATCTATTAATGACATCAGTATCCACCTCTCTCCACTAAAAAACTCTCTTTATGCATATGAAGTAGTCTGGTCTTATAATCATGAATCCAAAATGGGAGCACATGGATGCTGTGATCCATGTTAAAGTGTTGAAGCCTTCGGCTACAAAAGTCAGCCAGTTCCCTTCCCTAGCTAGCTTTCCTCCTTCCTAGAGAAAAATGCTTTCCAGAACCAAAGATTGAAGAGAAGGGGCAAGTACCATGTCTAGGAACACCAGATTCCCAGGGCTACAAAGGAAAGATCCACAGGGGAGTTACAAAGAAGATGTGGGGGCCTGGGCTCAATCACCAGCACCAGCAAAAGAAAAATAGGGTCCAAAGGGGTGGTGCTTAGCTGTGAATTCAGAGCAAGTTTTCAGTCAAAACAGTGACAGTCACTACAGCTGCAAGCATTTCATGTGCACTATGTGAGGCACTGCAAAAGACCTTTAGATGCATGATCATCCCTAAACCCCCTCACAGTGACCTGGAGTCAGACACTACTACATCTCTCTCTTACACCAGCCTTTCAGGTCATACTGCATCATCCAGGTCCTGGCTCCTGTAGGCAGGCTCAGCACAGCAGCAGACCCCACCCAGGTGAACCTCATCAGCTGCAGCGGCAGCACTGGAGGCAGGTCACCAATTTCACACATTTCTCTGCTTCCTGCAGGCCATACCCAGGGTCTTATTTGTTGTCATGGTCTAGTTGTGGAACTGTTCCTCAGTCCACCGGGGATGTCCATGATTCTTACTTTTCCAGTACTTTCTCCTCTCTGAGACCATGTCTACTGCTCTGCACTGAATACCGGGCACCACGTGGACTCCGAATAGTTTTAGAACGGTGCCTTCTACACATCTGCCTTTCATCTCATTTCCCATATTATCCACCAACATTCAATGCATCTCTTGAATTTCATGCTGCACAACATTATCTAAAGTTTCTCAGCTAATGACTCTTTTGGGCTTCCCTCCTCTGCAACCCTGAGGTTAGTACTGTGCTTAACTCATAGAGGACTCTGCAATGCTAAACAGATACATTTTGATGAATCATCATCCTCTGGTGGCAGCATGTATCAAAACTTTGTTGTTTTTTTCTGAACAATAGAGTCAGCAGCAGGCTTTTCCTGTACTATGCTGGTTACTATGTGATTCCTTAAGGCAACATTTCCCTTTTTGCTTCTTCTAGTCTCACTCAACTCCACAGGGAGCATCCAAAGGTGACTGTGACATCACATCTAAATCCTTTCTCAGGACCACTCCCCAGTCCAGGCCTTGAAGCTGGAGAACCCCCAGGCCTTTTCCTCATGGAGGAACAAATGACTAACTGGAGGACGGTATGGCTCGTCATCTTCTCTATAGTGTGATATCATCCACCCTGCTTGTGTATGACATGGAGGTGGCTTCAGCATCACACTGCAGAGTCCCCAAAGTTGGACTGCTAAGGACCAATGCAGTCAGCCTGTTGAAGTGAACTGAAAGCGTAGCTCTGAATGACAACAGATGTCATCCTCCATGTTCTCCTCTGTGATGCTGTGACCCTCACTCAGGACTACTTTCCCATAGATGACAGGGTTCTGAGTGATTCTTAGTGGGTCATCTGTATCTCCAGCTTGATGTTCCTGCTTTCTTCCCTCCAGGAATAGTCAGCCAGCAGAGAGATGGATCAGGGGTTGGTGCTGGGTCAGCTGGGGAGAGGCTGACATTGTACCTCTGAAGGGCTCAGAGCTATAAGGGTTATGTTTCTGCAGGGAGCCTTGGCTGTGGAGTGGAGAATGTCTTCAGTTCAAGTTTTCCAACAGCTTCCCCTGGCTTCCTGCAATCACGCGAGAGGTGCTGTCAAAGAAGGAAAAGAAATCAGACCTACAAACAGCTTTGATGGATTACTGGATAGATAAAATCATAGTCTGTTCACACATATGGATTGATATACTCCACAACAAAATACCCCCAAATGTCATGGTTGGGGGATGGGCATCATGGGTGGAGCACTTGCCTGGGATGCTCAATGCTTCATTATCCGCTCTAGTTTCAGCCCCTCCATCTCCAGGAGGAGGGTCTTGTTCTGGGCTTTGGCCTGGACCAGCTCCTGCTTGACATTTTCGATCCTAAGGAGAAAGGGAAATGGGCCAGGTGGGGACTTGCAACATCAGGTGTGGTACTGCTCAGTCCCCCGCTGCACTGTGCCACATAGTTAACATGAGGTCACTCTCTGCAGATGGGTCATAGAGTACCTGGACCTGGAACTTTTCTCAGCCTTTAACAATTGTTAGAAGTTGAACTGAGAACTGCAAGCTCTCTGCTCTACTAGAAAAACTGCATATTTCTCCTATAGTCCAGGTATGATATTTTGAGAACAAAGTGCACAGCAATGCCAGGGTCACAGCAGAAGACAGACACACTTGACTTTAATGATGACCTACTGAGTGACCTCCACATGTCCATAGAGACACAGCCCTGCTACATGGGCACCACAAGGGCACAGGCTAGCTCAGTCCTCCTGCCCAGCACTCACCTTGCTTCCAGGCAACATGCTAATCAGAGCCTGAAACACTAGTACAACATTTCCCAAAATGTGTGCCTGAGAACACCAATCCTGCAAGGACTTCTGCAGGAAACACAAGCAGCTGTGGTCTCTGAGGACTTGACTTTGGGAAACTGCATTCTGGACCTCGGGGGAGTCTGCCACAGCACACTACAGTGAAGGCTCTGATCAGCCCTGCAGCAGAGACACCTGCCTGTCTGGGTTCAACCTGGCAATTTCAAACCTATTATACCCAGAGAAGACTTTCCCTGGGAAATTGATGAGGCCCGTGGTGGAGAGCCTGTGCTCTGCAGGAATGTTCAATGCTGCCCCAGGTGGGAATCACAGCTCTGAAGATCAGGTTCCAGAATGAAAATTAAGCTTCAGGGGACACCCTGCCCTCAAAATTGACTTTCCCATCTGCTCAGCGAAGGGCCACCACAGAGGGAGAGGTTTGTGGGGAGAACTGAGACAGTATTCTCCTAAGACACCAGAGAGCTTAGGAAGAGGAAAGGAACACCATTCTCCAGGCACATTGTCAAACACAACGTTTCCTGTTTTTATTGATTGAACTGTCACAATATTCTGAGGTGTTTTCTTCCTGGCTGTTTCTGGAAGTCCTGTAGATGACTAGAACCCTCATAGGTCAGGGCCCCAGGCAAAGAGGACTCATTAGGCTCCCTCCCCATCCTGGGCTCCTACCTCTTAGCTGAGGTGACTAAGTGGTGCTGCATCCGGACTACGATGTCCCTTCACTGGATCAGCCATTCTAGCTCCCTCAGGAGGTGCTGGGCATCAGCTTCCAGTCTATTTTACTATTCATCATTAGGAGATTATGTTCTTAGTGGAAGGTTAGACCATACACACACACACACACACACACACACACACACACACGCACACAGATGAGAGAGAGGAGAGGAGAGGAGAGGAGAGGAGAGGAGAGGGGAGAGAAGAGAGAGAGAGAGAGAGAGAGAGAGAGAGAGAGAGAGAGAGAGATGCAGTCATGTGTTTAGTTTTCTGGATGAGGCTAGTGGAAGAGGAGAACTCCTGGGAGACCAGGGAAAAGAAGGTCAACTTTCATGGACTAGAAAACAGTGGGCTGAGAACAGAGCTCAGTCAGGAAAGCCTTGCCTTGTAAGTAATAGGACATCAATTCCATCTCAGAAGCATGAAAGAGAGCAAAAAGGAAGGTGTGAATCACAATCTTGAAATCCTACTGCACAGGAGGCAGAGTCAGGGGGATCCCTGAGGATCCCTGACCAGCTAGCCAAGCTTGGCTGAACTGCTGCTTTTTTCTCAACTCTAATAAAATTATCTTTGAGGTTCCTTCTAAGTTCAGCTTTGATTTGTTTGTTGTTGAGGATAAGAACCTAAAAAGAGGGGCTGGAGTGATGACTCAGTGTTTAAGAGGACTGGCTGCTCTTGTAGAGGACCCAGGTTCAGTTCTCAACACCTACATGGCACTTAACCATCCATAACTCCAGTTCCAGAGTATCCAGTGCCCTCTTCTGCCCTCTGACCACATTGCATGACACAGGTGTACTTACATACATGGTGACAATACATTCATATACATAGAAATAATAAATAAAAATAAAAAAAACCCTAAAAAGAAACTTGAGTAACACCCAGGCCAAAACTTATTTCCACTCCCAGGAACTTTTTCCAACCTGAGATTCAGTGATCATCCAGGTAAACATCGACCTCCCTCAGATAGGGCTGACCTCACAGGAGAATCATCACTTCGTATCTGCACAGGGCTCTCCTACCTGCAAGCTTCTTTCCACCTGGGATCATATAGGATCCATGCAAAGGAAAAGAGCCACAGGGTCCAGAACTCAGACACACATCCTGCTATTAAACACCAAGTGCTGAGCTTATTGCACCCTCTTAACACAGTGACATGTAGGTGTGTGATCATGTAGTTGACATATCTCCCTCAAACACCTGCAGGCTCCAGCAGAGATGGGAGGGATTGCCTCCCAATAACCCAGTTTGTCACAAGAGGCTGACATCCCAGAAACGCTATAAATGATCATAGAAAGAAACACTTGAAAGGAATGTAGGTGGGTGGCTAGGTGGGTGAATAAATTATTGATGGATGAGGGCATGGGTGTGTGGATGGGCAGACAGGTGGGCAGTTAGATGGGCAGATGGGTGCAAAACAGCCTACCCACAGATGTCAGTCCATATCTGATGCTGCTGAATGTGGAGTTTGCCCATCTCCTGGTTCTTCTCACTGCACATCTTCATGTCCTCTAAGTGCTGCTGCAGCACCTTCTGCTCCCCCAGCAGCTTTCTATTCTCCTCCCTGATCCTGTCCACTTTGTCCTTGAGATGAGTCCCCTCACACAGGAGCCAGCTGAGGAGGTTGCTGAAATGCCACAGGCCACATAGTGAAGCCCAGTCAGACTGCACCTGCCAACCCCACTTCCAGGTACCACCAGCCCTGCCAGGACCCAAGTCCCTAGGAAAACCTTAACAGGATCCCACAAGAGCCACGCCAGTAGCACTCAGGGGTAGGCCAATAGCAGATACCAGCCAAATCCCAAAAGGAGTCAAATCACTTCTGGAAACTGAAACAACAGGGATACATGCATCTCCTAGGAAAGGAGACAGTCCCACTGGTGCTTGTATGTCCAAGGTAACAGGGAAACACCACCTGGCAGGGTGAAAATACACTCTTATGGAAGCTAGAAGACCATCAGGGAGCACATTCCTGTAGAACAGTTCCCTAGGCAACTGGCTCAGTACAGCTTCAGCCAAGTCCAATGCTGCCTGACCTCCCTCCTCATGGTGTAAATTGCTCTTCTGTCTACCAGTTTCTAAAGCTGGCAAGATGATGGAAAGGATGAACAGTCTCTGTCACACAGGCAAACTAAGGCCCAAACACACAAATCCTCTCATAGAAAGCAAGTAGCTTGCTAAGAGACAGAAGCAGGACTAGCACCAGAGCCCCTGACTCTCTAGTCCAGAGAAAAAGAAAAAGAAGGACAGAGGCAGCCACTCTATAAGTGCCAGGGTTCCTGCCAAGCCCGGTATTCACTGGAAGAAGCCTGTCTCCTTTGCCACTTCCTTGCACTTCTCTGAGGCCTTGGTGTGCTTGATCTTCCTTTCCCAAAGGTCTGACATGACCTGAATATGCTCCATCTTCATAATTTCAAGGTCAGTATTCAGCCTGTGGTAGAGCCTGGCGCCAGGAGCACAGCATTAACACAGGCCTCAAGAATCACACAATTTCAGTCTGTGTCCTGTACTACACCAGCCCAGTGGCTCCCACATGCTCCTACACACTGTGACCTTCTCCTGTTGTTCGTTAAACTTGCTGTCCTGGCCCCATCCCAGCAGATGTTGGGTGTCCAGATGCAGGAAACCAGACTGTATCAGCTCTCTAAATGGTCCTGGAGGGAAAGACTTGCTCTTTATGAAGTTTCCAAGAGTCTGTGGCACAGGACTGGGTTCACCACAAACCTGTGCTGAAGGTTCTCCTGTGTTCAGAACAGTGATTCTCAATCTTGGGTCTCATCACACTAGTGCCCAGGCCACATACAACAGCATTTCTTAGGGTGAGACTCAACATCATCATGGCTTCATTTATTCCCCAGGTGAGCACACTGGCCAAGACAGTGTGGAGATTCCAGATCAGGGTACTGTATCGCCTTGATACTTGAGACACATGAAAATCCTTAGGCTTCACAAAACTGTCACAGAACTTCTGACAACCATGATCAAGAGGGTTGAACACATACACAGAGAGACAGAGAGACAGAGAGAGAACAATAGGATGTAAAAGACAGAGAGAGAGAGAGAGAGAGAGAGAGAGAGAGAGAGAGAGAGAGGATGCAGAAAACAGAGGATACAGGGAGAGGCCTGTTGTCTCAGGGTTGAAGTCTCAGAACCAGACAGGAGCAGTGAGGAGCCCCAGGCCTTCCCGTGAACAGTGAGATGCACCAAATGGGAACAGGCACTGACAGCTGCTGACAGGAGCATCCACCACACAATCACCTGCCAGGAAGTACACAAAGACTCAACACAACTCACACATTCTAGCCTCTTATGAAAGAGGCCACCAGTTATACCCTCTTCACATACATGATAGGAACACACACTACCACCACTTCAATCCCTAAGCTGTGTGACTCAGTTCACAGGCTCTGGTTGTCATGTGGAATAAGCATCACAGCCTGTGTCCTACCTTGCTCCTGCCCTGGCTTCAGGTTCTCCTGTGGAAGCATCTGGGGAGAGGAAACCTCTGTGCAGCTCCGGGAACCCAGGAGGTAAGGAGAAGTAGCAAAGATACAAATAGGATAAGACAGTCACCAGGGAGCAGGACACACTGACTACCTGCCGTCCCAGGGCCCCCCATTGGTGATGGAGGCCAGGTGATTGCGCAGCTCATCTCTCTCGCGGATCATCAGCTGTAGTTGAGTGGTCAGGTTTGCCACCTCCTCGTTTACCTGCTGCCTGGCATGGAGGGGTGTTGGGGATTCTGGCTCCTCAGCTGTCCCTGTGGGTAGAAAAACACAAGTGAACTTGCACAGTAACATCAGAGTGGGCAGACCACTCTGTCCCAAGAAACAGCCTGAGGAAAAGAACTTGCTTGGAACCTTAGTGGTGCTCCTAAGGAGTAGGGGAGCTTCCCAAAGCTGGGGCCCAAAGCTATGTCCTTTCCAGACCTACAGCAGCCAGACAGTGGTTTTAGCCCATACTGCATTCTCCTTGCCCTTAGACATGCTCTAACTAGCCCAGCCATGCTGGCTTGGAGGACACTGCCAGCTCACAGCTGATGTGATGCAGATGAGTCCTGGGGCCTATAGTGCTGAGCCCCAAGCAAGTCCTCATCACCTGAGTACAGGACCTAAAGAATCTGTGCCTGTGACATTCATCTCCACAACAAACCACAGGTGGGCACAGCAGATTCATCCCCACATCAGAGATGAGGAACTGTGGCCCACTCAGGAGAGGCATCTGAGAGATGAGCTCCAGACTAAAGACTTGGGGCACTGGGACTACACCCTGAGCCTCCAGCTCCCAATCAGTCGATCTATGCATCATTTACTTCCTGCCAGGCAGTGTATGAAATGCTGTTCACTCACACCCCATTCTATTCCCCAAAAGTGAATGTCGTCTTTACTTAGCACACCAGGAGACATAACCTTATCAAGATTAAATAATGTGTTCAGGTCATAGGGCCTGTTAGACACAATACTGGGAAATGGATCTCTAACAGACCGCAAATCCAAGAGTTTAAACTAAAAGTTTCTGAACATTTTTATTTGGGGTGTGTGTGTGTATGTGAGGGGATCAAGCCACATTTCTAGCAAATGCCAGGTATGTACTCTCATACTGAGCTTCCCTCTAGTCATCCTTTCTAAACTTTTTGTACTTAGGACCACTGAAAACTCTTAAAACCATGTATGTATGGTTTCCCTCTGAGTCCAGAAGACAGTGTATGATACATTGGAACTGGAGTTACAGGTGGTTGTGAGTCAACTGACATGGGTGCTGGGAACCAAAGTTGGGTTCTGTGGAAGACCAGCAAGTGCTCTGAACCACCAGGTCACCTCTCCAATCCCTGTCTAGGAATATCTAGATTAGAAATTAAAATAAATAAATATGGGATTGGAGAGATAGCTTGGTGATTAGGAGCACTGGCTGCTCCTGCAGAAGACCAGGATTCAAATTCTAGCACCCACATAGTGACTAAGAACTGTCTGTAACCCCAGTTCCAGGGGATCCAACTCCTCCTTCTGTCTTCCACTGGCATTGCACAGTGAGATATCTCAGTGGGTAAATGTGCTTGTCACAAAAGCCTGACTCTGAGCTGGATCATCCCCAGAACCCACAGTAGAAGGAAAGAATCATCTCAAAAAGTTTTCATTTGACTTACACACTTGAGCCATGGCTTGTGAGTGAAAACACTGTCACCCATACATCGTGCACACAGATACACATATGCATATATGATAAATAAATTAAAAATAAAATAAGGAAAAATCCTTCCATATTCAACACGGTTTTTAGTGAACAACTGACTACCCTTTCCATTATACCACAAAGTTATACAGTGGAATGAAATGTGACATTGCTCTGCACTGGATAATGGGCCCAACATTTTGCTTCCCATAGACACCTGAGTTTCATCTCTGTTTAATGTCACATGCAATGGATGGAAACTTTGAAAGTTCCACTGAACACCTGTTGAGAATGAAAATGTGAAAGGCCAGGTACATCCAAGTCCTGACAGAAGCAGCTGGAGCTCACAGGTCCCTGAGCGGACGTCAGGGACACCAGGTCAGGATGAGACCATTTGTTCCGGGTCATAAGCATGTTCTAGCAGCACCAAAGAAACATCTGGAGTCTCTCTACAGAACTGAGGAGCGCTAGGTGCCAACAGCCTGTCTCAGGGAGATGAGGGAATCTGCAGAGTCTGAGGCAGCAGAGAGCTGGATCTCTAACTCTGAGGGGCACTGGGGAGGGAAGAAGAGGAGGCCAGACAGAAGGAGGGGCCACCAGATCCATCCCATCCTGCATGTTATCTCAGGGTCTGAATGGGCAGTCCTGGACCAGCTGGCAACCCAGACACCAAAATGCATAGGGGTATCTGTGTAACCCAGCCTGGCTGCTGATTCCTGCACCATGTTCCCATCTTCATCTCATTAGCATCCAGCTGCCCCCCAGGGTTATACTGGCATCACAACTGGGGAACCAACACCCATAAGAACAAACGATGGGACACCACGGCCCACATACAGAACCTACTCTGACAGGACATTCAAGTCCTCAAGTACTACACTACACTGCTTCCCAACAGAGATGAACTTCTGCTGTCCCCACACCCTATTGTGAGCACCCAAGGAACTTATCAAGGTGAAGACCAGCAACCCTGAGAACCTCACAGGTGGCAGGCTCTCTGACTTGGTCATGATGACTCCTACCCCACAGTTGTCTCCTAGCAACCACAAATCCCACCATGGCTGTCTGGACTCCTCCCTACTTTGGGATGTTACTATTCCAAGGTAACCTCAGGAATGCACTTGGGCGTACCAGACCAGGACAAAGGCTGTGAGCAGAGGTGGGGTCACAGACTGCAAAAAACAGACTCAACTGTTTTACCATCCTGCAAATCCTTGCCTTCTCTGGTCATCTGGACTAGTGTGGTTACCACTACACACTCCCAAGGATGAGAGGTGGGAAAGGTCACGGACATCGCTGAGAAGGGTTCTTGTCCCTGGCTCCTACACTCAGTTCATAGTTAAACAGGATGCAGTCAGGCTTCAGAGGCTTAAGCATGTGGTGTAGAAGCCAAGGGGAAAAGTGGAGATGCCCAGAAGCAGTCAGATGGTGCAGGAATGCCCGCGTTACCTGTGTACTGGCTCCAAACACTGGAGGTTGAAAGACAAGCAATTCTACGGCAGAGCATGGTCACCACACTTACCAAGCCAGGACTGACAGCCCCGAAGAACCAGAGCTGGCAGCAAGGATCCCAGTCCTTGTCCTGGGCCACCACTTCTTACAGCACCTCAGCTGCACTAGACACCTTCTGACTAACTCATCTGTTGACCCAAAAAACTGAGGAGAGTCTGCCAGGGAATGGCACCCAAAAGTCTCATGTCTCCTAGTGCTTCTGCTGTAAGTCTAAGAACCTCAGCCTTGACCAGCGGGGCTTTTCTCTCGATTGCTGAGGTTGAACAGACACCACACTTGAAGGACTCCACTGGGGTAACACTCTGTCTTGACTTGGGGATACTCTTAGTCCCTCCCTGCCTCCTGCAGGCCTCTTAACCTACTCAGAGTCAAAGCTGGGTCCTCCTAGCACAGCAGCTGCAGCCTTGACAGTTCCTGGCTCTCTGGCCTGACGAACTACTGCCCTGAAATCCTTGACTGTCAAGAACTAAGACAAGCAGGTAAGTCAAATTGCTCCCTAGTGACTCACTGCTCCAGAGCCCCATTTCTGGAAGGACCAGCTCAAGTCCTACCTCCTCCAGGAAGCTGCCCTGTAACCTATTAGAACTCACTATGCCTTCCCCAGGACCATCTCCTCCTTGATGGTCTCCCCAGAGACTGAAGACCAGCTTCCTCTGGCCTCTCTCTGGTCTCTCTATGCTCTCCGTTCTCTCTCCCAAATAGCCTGGTCAGTCTTGCCAAAATGTCTATAGTGAACCCAATAGGCACTGAGAAAATGCTCCTCCAGGAGTCACTGTCTCCTCAAGACTGATGGCATCACCAAAGTTTGTCAAGGACTCTCCAGGACAGAATAGAATGTCTAGGGAAGGGACTGCTGAGGTTAAAGGAACAGCCCTCAGCTCTCTTCTAATTGGCTCTCCACCTATTTACCAGAAGTCAAGCTGCCCTACTATGGGCCTTCCCAGAATGCAGTGCCTCCTCCTGCCCCAAAGCCACAGATCTATCTCAGCCCCATGAGAAAACAATCACACCATCCATCTGTGGGGACTCAAAGGATTACTTTCCTAACACTGAGCAGAAATGTCACTTCCCCTCCTTAGAATCCCCTACTCATCTGAGGTGAAAGAGAAAAGGATACTGTGAAACTGGGCCTGGGTGAATGTGGAGCAGGAAAGCTCAGCCATCTGCAGTGTAGAAGCTTAGAAACACAACCCAGGCAGAGCACAGGGCTGGTTCCCATGTGGGATTTGGCCAGGGGATGGGGTATGCTTAGAGAAGCCACAGTCCTAGCTGATGAAAATTGTCCTAAGAGACCTCAAGAGAAAGACAGTGCAGCCCTCAGCTTGTGGACAAAGATGTGATGAGCTATTGGAAGAGGAAGCTAGAGTGGTGAGGCTCCTGATGTGATTGGTTGGTACCAACCACCAGGAGAAAACAATTCCAGACAAAGGCTAGTGTGCCCCCAGCCCTATATTAAGGAAAACATGGCCAGAAGGTTGGTAACTGAGGCTAGATAGAGCTACATTGTGAGATTCTATCTCAAAACACACACACACACACACACACACACACACACACACACACACACACACCAGATAAAGTCTGTAGATTTGGGTCAATTGGCAGAGTATGTCCTCACATGCACGGAGCCCAGGGATCAGTCACTTGCACAATACTCACTGCATGTGGTGGCTCCACTTGTGATCCCAACATTTGGGAAGTCAAGGCAGGATGATCAGAAATTCAAGGTCATCATTGCCTAATTACTAGTTCAGGCCAGCCTGAAATACAGGAGACCCTGTCTGAAAAGCAAAATAGAAACCCTCCCTCCTTAAAAAGCCTCAGGTACCAATCCCTCTTCTCTTGAGCAGAACCTTCCATTCTCCCCTCCACTGTTTCATCTTGAGGAGATGCAGCAGGAAATTGGCAACGATCTTTCTATCCTAAGCACCAAACTTGTGCATTTCCTTTGGTCCATAGAGAGAGACTTAAAATAAAATTGGGCATTTCCATGTGATTTACTAGCACCGTCCACCCCTGCTGGTGCACTAGTGTGCCTATGAAATGCACTGCCTCTCACTGCTGATGTTGGGCAACAGG